GTGGTAGGAGCTCCATTGATGTTAGGAGACTCTATTCAAGGCCTGACAAAGGGTATGAGTCAACTGCAAAGAAAGGAGGCATGTCACAGAAACTGAAGTGTGACCCTTTGTTTTTCCTGACCCCAAGGTCCTCAGCGACACAAAAGGGGACCCCAGCACTGATTCTGCAGCAACAAATGCCCATTGTGAGCGAGTGTATTTGAGGAGCAGTGACAATACGGAATGACCCGAGGTGCTTGTTTCCAGCCCTTGTCTCCCAAGAGACTGCCAAGGGGGGAGTCCTGCCTGCAGCCCGACAGAGGTGGAGGAGATGAGGATCCTGGGAAACTTTTCCCAGTGGCAGCATTTCCCTAGAAAGCCTCTCTTGCAATGCGTGATCTGACCATCCACGTTTAATATTGAAACACCTGGACAGTGGTGGGGTTTTTTGATTCAGTTCTGCAAAACCTATAGAAGTAAATACAACTTTTACTTAGCTGTTATGTAAAATGGGATTTTCCTAATTTAGGATTGGCAAGGGATTAGGATGGCTTAGTAGCCTTGTCTTTATTTCAGCCTTCCATTAGCCTGTGACTACTTTCTTTCACAATCAAAGTAGACATGAAAGGGCTGTTTTGCTTCATCCTTTTCATTATCCCAAAGTGCTGCAGGTGTCTATTAAAGTTCATGATGGAATTAGGGTGCAGAATGATGGATTTAAAGGTATCATAAAACTCTTCCTGGTAAATAGTAGTCCCCAAATATATTCCAGTTGTGACCTGAGAGAGGCTGCTGGAGGCGTCCCAAGCAGCCATGCATTGGCTCTGCAGATCGTTTGAGCTGAGGAAATGCATTTGCATATGGATGTCATGCTAAGGAGGCAGGCCAGCCCGGATTTCATTACTGCTAATGACGTGTGTGGGAGAAGTGATTTAGTTTATAGCCAGTGCCAGGCGTGGCACAATGAGGAAGTACTTAATTCATACAAAGCTCTTTCTTGCTTCTAAGACCTAAAAATCAGGGGATTTCAAGCAGCTCCAGGAGGCCCAGTGTTACGTGGTGTGGTCTTGTTAGCACCGAGGGAAGAATAGAGCTGTGACTGAGGTGAGGGAAGGGGGCAAAAGGAAGCTTCAAGATTTGGTATTGATGTCATGGAGGAAAGGATAGGAGAAGAAACAAAAGGGAATGAAAAGGAGAAGAATGAGCAGCTGAGGATGGAAAACCGGCAGGCAAGAGCTGCCTCTGCAGGAATCGTGGCTGCCAAGGCTGGACAGTCGGACTTTGGAGGTGCCAGAATTTTTACTCCAAGTCCTCATTTTAGCCTGTCCAACTCAAAATGCAGGCAAGCACATTGGGCCTGAGGCAAGATGTCCAACTTCAGAGACGAGAATTTTCTGAGAAGTGGAAGGGAGAAAAGGGACCCCAGGATAGCGCTGGGGATGGCGTAACTGGGAGTGGCTGCACTGACTGAATCATCGCATGGCATCTTCAGCAGAGCCGCCTCTGCTGTTCCTGCGGCACTAGGCACTGCCTCGGGCAAGAGGGAGCAGATGGGGGCCTGGAGGCACATTCTGGGCATGTAAGTCGGGAGACAAAGAAAATACGACGCTCAGGCAACTTCAGGAAGAGCTATTTGAACTGGGATCGGTATCTTGGGTGGCCTCTCAGCAGTGAGCAATGAATCAGTCAAGCAGAAGAAAGCAGCCGGAGAGAAGGAAAGGGTGAATGAGAAGGAGTAAGTCAGAGGGATTACTGACGGAGATAAGAGAGCCAGCGAGAGGGAGCACGCTGCAACAACACGCCGAAAGAGCAGCTCAGAGCATCCACCGCACCCAGAGCCTGCGTTGGGCCAGAATTTAAAGGTTGAGGGGGCCTAATTCTGGGATTTATGGGGCCCGAGACCTCTGGTCTTTTATACTTACATGGTATCATTGCACAGGGTAGCAGGGAAGAAGGGCTGTGAGCTGCTGTCCGTTGTTCGGGCACGGGATGTGACTGTGTATCCATCTGCAGCTCACAGTATGAAAACCTGAAGAAAGATCTTTGAAGAGGAATTATTCCTGCCTTTTTCGTGGCACAGCAGCTGGTTTTAATGGTTTTTAACTGTTTGGCTGCAATCACTCACAATGTGTGTAATCAAAAGGGCTATGAGCTGCTAAAACTCACTCCTGGAGCAGACTGGCAATGCTGTCTCTGGAAATACAGGATTTTTTGGGTGCCTTTTAATTTAAACTGTGTTGTTCTGTAATTTTCTGGAGAGGGAAATCAGCTGGTGAGTTGGATAGGGGGATGTGAAGGCCACTTCAATAATTAGCAAATGAATAAACACAGTTTGGAGAGTTCCCTGACTTCTGCTTCATCTGAGTTGAAGCCAAAGGGTATGGGACACTGACATTTAGCTGGGGTTACTGGAAATTAAATATTGTTTACTTGATATTGCAGTTGAATTCAGAAAAGTTGTGAGATGTCTTTAAGAAACAAACCCCAGTTTTAGCATTTGTGTGTCCCTGAGAAAATGCTGTGATTTGCTGAAGTGATGGCCTTTACATGCTGTTTTAGGACCACTGTATGCTATTGAATATGTTTTATTATGCGTAAGTCATTTGAATGATCTTCATACCCAGTTGCAGGAGGCCAGCATGTGGACTTCACTGTCTAGAAGAAGTTTAGAAAAATGATTTGGCACAAAAGAGGAAGCAGGAATCAGTTAAATTTGCAGAGGATCTGACGAGCAAAGGTGGGACGGAATAATGTGCAATATTTTCTAGATGTAGGCAAAAGAAAAGGAGAAAAAGGGACTATGCCAATACATTATTGTTCAGTGGGGCTCTGCTGGCAGACCGAATTCTGTTGGGGGTGGATTATTTCTCCTCAGCGACAACAGCAGGTTTCAAATAACGTTTCGTATTTCCCAGGTTTAGCAGATGAAAAAAAGGAAAAAAAAACCCCACCAGAATTACTTGGGAGGCAAATAGAGCAGATTTACAAATAGAGGAGAATGTTTTATGGCCAGACTTGCAAACATTTGGCTCCTGCAGATGCCAGAAGACTCTGCATCTGCTTTAATCAATGTGGGTTGATCCTTTCTGATTATTTCTTTGAGATCCCTGTGGTTCTTAAGGCAGGAGTTTTATGTTATCTAGGACAAAGCCACTGTTCAACTTCACACAGAGGGCAACTTACTTACCTGCAAATTCAAACTGCGCAGCTTTTGATCGGTAAGAAAGGCAAGTGAGAGCGGATGAACTGAGAATAGACATTTATTAAGAACTCTGTGATTCCCCCTCCAAGGTATTTCAGCTGTCTTTCAGTTATGTCTTCATTAGAGATACAATAGGCTCTTCTGTTTATAATGTCTTCTTTACATTTTGGAAAAAAAAATAGATCATAGCAGGAATTAAAGACTTCTTTTTCAAGCATGTTTAAAATGTACCGGGGAAATTACTGCATTCTGCTCAGCTGAGTGTAAATAAAGGTTGCAGAATGGCAGACACTTAAAGTAATTCGTAGAAATCTGAAATTGCCCATTAATTGCTGTCTCAGGGGATACAGGTCTTTTATGGCAGGAATCTCTTCAGCAGATGGGATATGAGATGAAGTAATGTGGTTACTGTACTGGGCAAGATGCAGTTGTTCTTTTACCTCTTTGCTGTATTTTTACAGCAGGAAGGTTCCTTTCAGATGTGGATGTACTTCGTGGCAAGTTGTACGGTGGAGGCAACTTCCAGGGGAAGCACGTATAACAGTTGTCCTGAGAAAGTGTTCTGGCTCAGAGAAGACTGTTTTTTGGGTTTTGTTTTATTTTTGAATTGTTATTGTTCTTCACGTCTGTATTTAGGATCTGTTGGCCTCAAAATGTTGTATAGTTGGGCTTGTAAACAGTTGGCTTCCGCAGACACCAGAAGACTCTCTGTTTGCTTTGATCAAAAGAGGCTGATTATTTCTTTGAGATCCCCATGGTTCTTAGGGCGGTAGTTACTACCTACAACAAAGTCACTATTAGTTACATGCTACCTACACCAGACTCAATGTTCAGCCTGCCTTCACACAGAGGACAACCTACCAGTAGATTCAAGCTGTATGTCTGTTCAGTTATTAGCAAATGGCTGAGAGAAAACCAAAACATCCTGGAAATGCCGAGCAGCGCAGTGGTCAGCGTAGAGGCCCTGTGGTGTCACCTTGACTGTTTCAGTTTTCAGAACAGTTGGACTGGGTTGGAGTGTAATGGGACTGGGTCTCCCTGTATGTTTATACTGTCGCTATTGTAATGTATCTTCTTTAAGATAAGATCTTCTTTAAACATAAGAGGCAAGAAGAGAGGGGAGAGGGCAGGCAAGCACTGTATATAGCATCTGTAATGTTTAATTATATGAGACAGGGATTTTCCAATATGCCTTGCAACACAAAGAACATTTAGATATCAGCATCACAGTATATATTTTCTAAATCACAACACCCACACATTTCCTTAGCCAAGTAGAAGTTTTCCTTCTATGGCTGCATATCTAAAATTAGCCTGAAGGTCAAATCTGAATAGAAGTACCCTTGCCATTGAACGTGCTGGGAATGGTTGGTGCAATGGGCTCAATTTTCCCATCGAAAACCTTCATTTATTTTTTTAAATAACAGTTGCTTTTACAATTAAAGAGCTTGGAGAAAGGCAAAATGAGGCCTGCTGTATAAAATCATCATCAATATTCTGCTTTCACTGCAAGGCTATTTTTATAGCCAACTATTTTAAATGTAACAAGATGGATATATTGAAGCCATGGTATAAAAGATGCAGCAAGAGGCTTCCGAATAGCTGAGCTGAGCACCGGCATGCGAAAGAAAGGCCTTAAAATTTGGAAGATATTTGTATCTGAAAGATATACACAATGAAGAATTCTAAGTTAAGAAATGCATTGTTGAGAAGAAATGAATAGTTTAGGTCTAAAAATAGTTGCTTAACCTGCGGTTGTATTATGTGCGGACTACGCAGCCTATACTGCACAAACGCAAAAGCACCGTCTTGCAAGAAGTGCATTTATCAGCCACAGTGTTTTATTGAGTGCTTTAATAATACAAGTGTACATCAACTGATCCACAGTCAAAAGTGGCAGGTCCCTAAGAAATTTACAAGCACTTTTTTTTTTAAAGTAAATCAAAATACATATTAATTTGTTCAACGCAATAGCCTTTTGTGTGGGAAACAGAAGGCTAGTGATAAACACAGTCTTAGTAATGCACAGTGATTCTTGATTTTAAGCTTTTATACAAAACTTGTTCCCAGTAGCATGCACCCACCATTAAAGACTTCAGTACAAAAAAATAACCCTAAACACTACATTTAAGTAGAAACGAGATATAATTCTGAATTTGTTTGTTTTCCCAAAAACCACATGAAAGAAAGAAAAACCCCACACATTAATACAAAGCTTTGTGACAAAGCTCTATACTATTACAGATCCAACATTCTTTGCACTGATAACCAAAATTCCCTGTCTACATTTGAGGGAAACAGCTTTCAAGTTAACAGAACAAAAAAACCCAAAACAGATAAAAATAAAAATAAAACCAAAAAGAAAGTAAGGACAACCTTTTGTCACAAAATGGTTCAAGATTTAATAAAAAATAAGAATGAAGGGAAGGGCTATTGATGCACTTAGTGAATGTGCTTGCACAGGTCCAGCAAATCCTAGAGTAGGTTCCTATGTGGCATATCGCTTGGTCCACTGTCTGGCCATTCTGTCGTGCTCTGCTCTGTTAGTCATATACTGAGTGGCAATACTTCCAACCAGGGGGTCAGCTGAAAAGGAAACACAAACCGTGAAATACTCATCAGCCTTGGAAGGATGAAAAAGCTATTCTTAGATCCAGATTCTTAGCCTACATATACTAGTCCCACTTTGAAAGCACGCATGCATACAGGAAGAAAGGAAGAAGAAGATGGGGAGGACTTGGCTGGCTGTACATTGCTGGGAAACATTTAACTAAAACCATTTTCTAAAATTCTGCCTCACAAACAAATGTTCCAATAATTTTGAGCTAAAAGTCACTTTCAGGTGATAAGAATAAACATACTATGTCATTTATTTATGGCGTTAGACTCCCACAAATATCTATACCATTACCTAAGAAGAGGATAGGCTTAAATTCTATTATCAGGTTAAATGTTTTTTTGAATACTTTTAGTTTTGAAGCATAAAGAAAGATCAGGAATTAGGGAGTAAGTACTATTTTCAAAGCAGCAAAAGTTAATTCCAAACTTTGGGAATTGGTATTTAATTTATGGGATCTTTCTGAGCATTTATATGGCCAGAATGCTGCATGATTTGGTCTTCCCCAGCTATTTCTGTATTTCCAAAATGAAGTAAGAACCTGAAAACGTAGTTTTACATTAATCTGGATGTACAAATTACTTCACAAATAATTGAAGAGAACCAATCAGCCCTCTAAGAAAAATAAACGAAGGCAAGACTTTCCCAGAAGTGACTGAATGTCATCACCATTTTTCTCTTCTCAGTTTAAAGCAGATAAAATGTATAGAGATTTCCCCTTTTTTGGGGGACCCATAGTCTTGTTATTTCTCCTGCAACAGTAAATTTCCTGAGATTGTACCACCACACCATGCAAGTTCAGAAGAACTGATACCATGGTTTTTTCCTGACTTGGGACAGATGAACACGACTTCTTATTAAAGGCAATTAATAATCAGCTTTGTAGTTGACTGAAGATGGTGCCATTGAACAATATCAATCTCGGCTTCCCCAGTATAGTCATAATCTGAGTGTGGTGTTTGCATTATTAACCGCTGAAATTCCTGGGATTAGATGTCAGGCCTTCCACAAAGCAGAGTAAATTTGGGCTTTTTTGTTTGTTGATAATAAGAGTTTATGATACGAGAAGTATCTTGGTTTAGCCAAAAATCGATTGATTGACTTACTGCCAACATTACTGAATATTACTGAATAATATCTAATGAAAATCTTTTGCTACTTTCAGGAATAGCCCATGATTTGAATCTTAAGTTTGCACCTACTAAATTAGTAAGGCAAGTTATCACTGTGACTGTGGTGTACTAAGTCTCTGTAGTCTCAGTCCTGCAAACACTGCATATGCTTACCTTTAATATCTTAATATATCCAGAGGAGGTCACCGAGACCTGGGCTTTCCTATTTTCACATGCAGGAGTGTCAAAGTAGCATATCTGATCTAAGATCCATTTTAAAAGTTTCAGACTAGAAAGTATATCACCTTTAACTCCTCAGCCAAGGAGAAGAACTATATAGGGACTACCGAAAGGATTTTGTTCCGTGCAAATAGGAAGCTAACAGTCTACGGGTATTTAAGGAGTGCAAAGTTGTTCATGGCTGGAATGAGGTTTGAGAAGCACTGGAGGGTAAATGGGGAACTTGGGCAATGGGAAAGGGCAAAATTGCTCTCAGCAAAAGATTGAGGGAGTAGCCACAGGGAAACCTTGTCATAGTGTAACGTAGCTTGGGGATGAGCCTGACAGCACTGCTGTGAATTCCCACACCCTCCTTGGATGCAACACCGCTGTGTGAAGAAACACTTTCACAGACCCACGTGAAAATGGAGACTAAGGGTTGAACTTGAAAGGAATCCTTGGAGCAAAATTCAACAAATGTGCTGGTTTTCATGCTGTTGGGAAAGGTGGGGGCTGGCCCCTGAGGCATCTGGCTGTGACGAGTTGCAAGAATATCATGGCATTATCATCTGGAACACAGCAAGTGCTTAATGAGGTTTAGTACGTATTTACAGTGCTGCCGCTAAGACCTTTACAAAACCTTCTGTGAGTCAGTGAAAAGTGATGTGCTGTAGTAAAGGTTTACCCAGTTCAAATCTGAAAGTCTTTTATGTATGGGATGAATGTTTCTGTGAAAGCGTGTCTTTCACGTTGAGAGCTGTAAATCAATTTCCTTGATCTCCTGAAAGGGTACTGAGGATCAGATCATCATCCCCAAATCTGGATGATAGATCACAATGTTTGGTTTCCTAGTGTGGGTCTCCATCTATACCTCCTCTTGGGAACAAGGAAGTATTTCAACAACATAGATCTTTGGAAGGATTTGGAAGGTACACGCTC